TTCCTGATGATGGACTTTATGAATTTATGTATGCTACTATTCATTGATTTAAGTTTTCAATTCTCCATCATAAACGGAGGAGTAAAAATGGAGTAAGTTAAGAGTCATAGGATATTCTATGCTTTCCTGTGTGGGGAAATATCTGCACATGAAGTGTCCATTTTCCCAATCAGCATTGGCCTGTGGGCACACTTGCCACTAAGGCCCTTCTGGTGACTTCCGTATGGCTCTTCGCACCTTATAGGCACAGGCATATGTTGGTGAGCACGCCCACCAAGTCCATGCAGAGGTGTAGAAGAAGCCTGACTTGGTCTGTAATTAGCACAATATCTTCCACAGTGTTTATTAGATTTCTTTTTTTAATATTATTTTAGTTGGCAATATCACCTTTATTTTATTTATATGTGGTGCTGAGAATCAAACCCGATGTCCCACACATGCTAGGCAAGCGCTCTACCATAGAGCTACAACCCCAGCCCTATTAGATTTCTTATTTGGATCAAGTGGAAGATTTCATTGTCTTAAAAATGACCTGGATAAGCCCAGCACTGATTTTTAAAACAGTCATTGTTTTCTTTCATTAAATTCTACATCATTGGTTTCTGACAAGTCATTTCATAAATACAAATAAAGGACCAGATGTAGCTCAGTGGTAGAGCACTTTCCTAGCCTGTGTGAGGCTCTGGGTTTGATCCTTTAATTGAAAACAAACAAACAAACAAACAAAAAACCTGTAAGTATTAACATATTCTGGGTTTACTCAGTTCATTTCAGGATAAATGCATCTTAGTATTAACTGAAATTCCCTTCCTGGTGTGGAAGACAAAAATTCCAGGAAGTGAAATCCAGAAGGAGCGGGCAGCATTGAGCAGGACTGAAGTCATGCACATGCCTCTAACACACAGCAGATAACAATGCACTGTTGCTGTCTACTGTTTTAATGACTTAATAATTGCCACTATTTCCTGAAACCTCAATTTGTGTAAATATTTTAGGTACTATTTTTTTCAATTTTCAAGCAGATTTAATAAAAATATAAGCTTTATTCCCATGTACAGAGTGCATTGGTCAAGGTTACATAGATGTTATGTGGCAGAGCTGGAATTCATGACTAAGGACATTTTGGCACCAAAGCCCTGCTCTTATAAGTGTCCATGTGATGTTTCTTATAAAAGTGCTTTCTCCTTTATTATCTCATTTGATCCCAACACCATGAAAAAACCCTATAAGTATAAACATATTCTGGGTTTACTCAGTTCAGTTCAGTTCAGGATAAACACAGACAGGGTAGGCACCATGTTCTCCCTTTTTATAGATGAAGAGTGGGGAATAAGTGCTGTTCAGTTTCCAAACTTATAACAGGTAGAGTCAGATAAGCCAGGCTTCCTAATTCCTGAGTCAGTGCTCTTTTGGTAAATACATTTTGTTTTGTTTTTTAAAATCAAAACCTGTAATCAAACTGGAAAGTTTAGTTAGAAGCATGCTTATGGATAAGTCCAAACCCCTTGTAATTTCACAAATTGTGGCTTAGCAGGTCAGTGGGTGAGAGGAGGCCTTCTTCTGGTCCCATGAGTAGTCATCAGCTCTACGGCCTTAGACAAGTGTTTTTGCCTCTTTCAATATGTAAAATAATGGGAATGGATGAGAGAGGTTTTGTGATTCCTTCCATTTCTGGGGAGTGTGACTCTATGACCTTTGACTAGTATAGTATGGTCATGACCCAGATACCTAGAGACCAAACCTCTATTTGTCTAGATTGCATCACTATACAGAAAGAACACAGCAAATAGTTTCCTTTAAATTTACAATCAGAATGGTGCTTGGAACCATTCTGTATCTGCAATTGTCTGGTGAACTTGGGCCATGCAGACAACTACTTCAGATAATTCAGGTCAAACTGAAGTTCAATGCAAGGATAAAATGAGATAACAGGACTTTTTGAAAATGAAACATGTTTTGTTTTTATTTTAAGAGCTGAAGGATTACACTTAGTTTTACTTTGAATGAACACAATAGTTATTGAAATCCCTGCTTTCTCCTATTTGTAATACACAACATTATACAGAAAACTCCTATTCTCTTGATTATATCTGATTATATTAGAATTTCATACATTACCCTCCATTACACCTACAGAGGATATGGGAGGTACAAGATGCAGATGATGGATTATTTTATCTGTTTAGTCACAATTACAATAACTGCCAACTTTTGTCAAGCACTTATATGCTAATCATGCCACTCGCTTCAACTCACATCCACAATAAAACTGAGAAGTTAGTAGTACTATTACCATCCTTTTAATTAATGAGGCCCCTAATGCTTTAAGCTTGAGAGTTGGGTAAGTTCAGGATCATACAGGCCAGGAAACTGCAAAACCAGATTTTGAACAGAAAGGCAGTGGGCCCTGGATGTAGGGATTGGGAGGAAGTAGTGAGGGCAGAAAACCGAGAGTGATGAAAGAGAAGACAAGAAAACATTCCCGCTGACCCACCGAGAGACAGCTATGCCATCTGGATGGGTAGACAGAAACCAGCTAATGGGATGAGTCTGCAATAGCGCCTCCCCAGGGGCAGGAGGGTAATCACCAAAGTCCCTAATGATTACCCAGAGTGTACAGGGAAAAGCTAACTTATATTTAATGGACAAAATAAAGGAAGTGCTAGCACATTTTCAGAAGATAATGGCAGCTGATATTTACTAAACTGCCACCAGGTGCCTGGTGCTGTTCTAAGCACTAGGTATGTGTGAATAACACTATGTCCTGGGTACCATGGCAACCTTCAGGTAACCTATGAGAAACTAAAGCACAGAGAAGGGACTTGATGGAGGTTCCTTGCTGGTGAGTGTCAGGGTTAAAATGGGAACCCAGGCAGTCCAAATTGCAGCCATTCCTGTTCACTATCCCCTTCCATAGAGTTTTCATTCAGAAAGGATGTCTGTAAACCCCACAGTCAACCTTGCTGTATAACCAATTGATCCATTTTATTAATACTTTGAATTTATGGTTTTGAAATCCTGTTAACAAAACTGTCAGGTCACATAAATGTTGAAATTGTCTCTGACTTCATCAAATGCATGCATGTTCTCAGGACCCAATAAACTCATTTCCACTTTCACCACTTTGGTATAGCCAGATTTAATGGGAGCAATCAAACAGCTAATATCAGAGATATGTTGATGTAGAGGCAATAAAGTCATAGGGTTGCTGAAAAGAAGTGAAAAGTCTGTTTCCTGTGAAATATGTTTCCTTTAATATATTCCTACTTTGCAAATCTGTGGTTGAAGAGCAGTGAAATACAATACGAAATACCACATTAAAACAAAACCATAATGACAAGTGTTTGGTTCCTTGAAGAAAAGTGGTGCTGTTATCAGTCAGAAATGATAAATAATGCAAAGAGAAAGACTTGAGATTCTAACCCTTTGGTCATAGTCGCAGATCTGAAGCAGTGAAATGGGCCCCCCGGATGGCCCAGTGGAGCCGTGGGATAATGAGACTGGCTTGTGGCCACAGCTGTGGGTTACCCTAGTCCCCAAACCCACAAGTCACCACCGCGCCTTTTCTCCCTGCCTCGAGGCAACCTTCAATTTCAGAAGGGCACAGAATCAAACAGAAAGCAATTAGTGTGGCAGAACCTTGAAAAGAAACCAATAGCCAGAATCTAGAGGGTTTTTTGCAGAAAGCCAGGATTTCCTTATTTGCAGAGAGAAACAACAAGAACAATTAAAAGTTTCAAATCATGTATAATTACTTTCAAGTTGGGTTTGGTGAAACATAAATAAATTTCATATCAGAGCTTTAGCCCAAGTCCGGTGCTGTGTTTGTTTTAGAGAACACTGCTTTCATCTTGGTAGAGGATGTCATAAAAGCACATTTCAAAAAATTACCATTGGCACCCAGTTTCCTATTTGATTATATTTTGGCACACAGCCCTGCCAGTCATACAGAGCCCCTATCTCAGTGGCTCTGATTGGAAGATAATCGCACGTACCACCTACCTTTCACCACTCTCACTCCCCATGCTGCAACAATCTTAAATCTCAGGAGCCACAAGAAATGACTCAAATTATGTAAGAAAGTCGGTACTTTCCATTTTAGTTAACCCCAGGCAAATTCATCAAGCCCCCTTGAAACGGCGACACTAAGAGCACTAGGAGTTAGAGCATCAGATACCAATTACAAGCTGCGAACTAAATGCAGTAATTAATGAGACATACACTTTAATCTAAAACAAGTCAAAAATGTTGCTGGATAAAGAAAAAAGTAAAGTGAAACTCCATAATTATAATAAATTGGTGCACAGTGGATAGATTTCTCCACCTAAGCTACAAGATAGACCATGTCTCTGGTATACTGTAGGCAAGTGTTTTACCATTAACATTAAACTCTGAATAAAGATCACACTTTAATAAATAAACCAGTCAATTGAACACTCAAACCTCAGACATGGATGAACATCAATAGCCCCTACCTTACACCAATTTCATATGGATTCTTAAAAACTAGGTTATATAACCTTTTCATAATCACCATTCAGATTAAATCCATGCATATTTTTCTTGCATGTAGTTTCCTTTGTTCTTTGCAGATGAGTTTATGCTAAATGCATTGCATATTTTCCAACATGGTCTTTTGTGCTTTCCTGGAAATCTGTTAATTTCAATAAATTTCTTTTTATTTTTGGAAGAAAGTAATATTATATGCATTGACTCTTCACGAAGGGCAATGCTTAGGTCCCCTTCGACAGTCTTCCAGAATACATGTAAAAAATATTGTCACAGTTACATACTTGAGGGTTTGCTTTTCTTTGTCTTGGCAAAGATTAGTGGGTACATTTGGAGGAAGATGAGAGAGAGAGAGAGAGAGAGAG